CCTGCCTTGGCCTCCCAGAGTGCTGGGATGGCCCAGCTACTATGTATATTTTTAAAAGAACAAATAGAGGAACTTTTTAGCTAACTAAACTTTTTGGACTTCCCTTCTAGAGAAGAGTACTTCTCCATAGAGAAAGGATGACTTAGTTTGAAATATGGGTTTTTGACTGGGTGAATGTCAGCATGTTATAGCTTGAATTTTCTTCTTCTTCTTCTTCTTCTTCTTCTTCTTCTTCTTCTTCTTCTTCTTCTTCTTCTTCTTCTTTCTTCTTTCTTCTTTCTTCTTCCTCCTTCCTCCTTCCTCCTTCCTCCTTCCTTCTTTCTTCTTCTTCTTTTGGGACCTTCTAATTCCCATTCAGATGCCACTTTTCCTTGTTACTATGGTTGAGATCCTCACTTTATCTCTTGGATCAGTGTCTCTTTGACAGCCAGATTCTGGGGAGGACTGGTAGTTAGAATAGCTTTGGATGTTACCTAAGTCTGATCTGATGAACAACGATCTGTGCAGAAGAGCGGCTGACATTTGTTGGGGAAGATGACATTGAGATAGAGATGCGGGTTCCCCAGGAGGCTGTGAAGCTCATCATTGGCCGGCAAGGAGCCAATATTAAACAAGTAAGTGTCTGAGCACATTAACAATTGATGGCACAGGATGAGAAGCCCACACAATACAAAAAATTAGCGGTGGCGTGGTGCGATGGTGCCTGTAGTCCCACAACTCAGGTGAGGGCTGAGGGCAGAAGAATAGCGTGTGAACCTTGGGAGGCGGAGAGCTTGCAGTGATGCTGAGATAGCGCCACTGGCACTCAGGCTGTGGGACACAGAGCAGACTCTGTCTAAAAAAGAAGAAGAAAGAAAGAAGAAGGAAGAAGAAAGAGGAAGGAAGGAGGAGGAAGAAGAAGAAGGAAAGGAGAAGAAGGAGAGAGGAGGAACGAAGGAGGAGAGAAGGACGAGAAGAAAGAAGAAAGAGAAAGAAAAGAAAGAAGCGAAGAAAGAGAAAGAAGAAGGAAAGAAGAAGAAAGCAAGGAGGCAAGGAAGGAGGAAGGGAGGAAGGAGAGAAGAAAGAAGGACGCAGAACGGCAAGAAGAAAGAAGAAGAAGAAGAGACTCCAAGGAAAGAGAGAGCAGAGAGACAACTTCAGCGCTATAACATGCTGCACAATTACCCAGTCAAAAACCATATTTCATAGAATCATCCTTTCTCTATGGAGAAGTACTTCTCTCTAGAAGGGAGTCCCAAAGTTTAGTTAGCTAAAAGAGTCCTCTATTTGTTCTTTTTAAAAATATACATGTATACTGGGCCATCCCAGCACTCTGGGAGGCAAGGCAGGGATCACCTGAGGTCAGGAGTTCAACATCAGCCTGGCACACATGATGAAACCCTCATCTCTACTAAAAATACCAAAAATCGCCGGGCACGGTGGTGAGTGCCTGTGATCCCAGATACTCCGG